AAGACATCGGAACAACGGTCTGCATGATATCAAGGGAAGAAAGCAGAGTTGCACATGACATCATTATGGAACCTGTGGTTACCTTGGGGGATGGGATTTTAGATGATTCGTATTCATTTCTGCAGACTGCCCACATGTTCTGAGTTTTCACCAATGAGCAGGTTTTACTTTTATAGTCAGAACAAAAAGGGCTGTTTGAGAAAACGGACCTTGTTGACACATCTTGAGGGACCCTCATGTGGCTCACAGGCACAGGATGCCATGCTGCTCTCTGATTGGCCCCTTACCAGGCCTCACTTCCTAGCAGAAGCAGCAATGACCATCTGAGTTAACTTGCTTTGAGGATCCTGCATTTCCTTCCTGGGTGATTGTCTGCAGCCCATCAAGAAAGATGCCTTAGTTTGATTGCAGGAGAGCTGAGACATCACCATGTGGCAGGCCAGGCTACAGAGAGGACACCCAGATGTGACAGATTGGCTGGACTCTTCAAAGCCATGACCATAGGTCCTTATAGCCACCCTGTGAGGAGGTGGGCGTCAGTGCTGACATGTGGCAGATGGAGAAATAGAGGTTGAGAGAGGCCTTGGCAGTGGCCAAAGCTCATCTGGCTGGCTCCGCATCAGAACTGGGCCTAGATCTGGGATCTTCTCTCTGCCTAGTGTGTTTCCAATTCGACTGCAAATCCTCACTCTGCCCATGCTGATCTCAAAGTCAAAGAAAAGCCACAGAGGGGAATGAAGCAAGAGCCCACAGGATTACTATTTTTCCATTCAGGTGGCATGCTCCCAGATGAGCACTTGGATTATATTCAACCTCCTCAACAAGCTCATCACAGTATTCCAGACAGAACCTGGCCTGTCCACCAAAGTTCCTGGAGTGTTGACTTTGAGTCTAAAAAGAAGAAAATATTCCAAACAAATCTGATGTATAACAAGGGTCTGAAGGCTTCTTTTTCCTGGTAGGACTCAATTTTCAGTTTGTACGGATTTAAAGGTGTCCCGAAGGCAAAATTTTTAAGTTTGAGGTTTGCAGAGAACAGTAATATCTACTTTGGGCTCAAGAGAAATGGTTGGCTTCTGGTAAGGTTGACTTCTGGTAAGCGGGCAATGGTCTACAGCAGTACCTCTTGCAGGGGGTGTGTGATATGGACCTTTTGGCCCGAGTCTGTCTGGGTGACACAAGAGCTGTGATCTGTGAAAAAACTCACCAAGACTCCAAAATGAATGTATCAGAACTAAGGCTCCCAAGCACATGCTCTGCATAGGCTCAGCCAAGACCCTCAGAGCAAGAGCAGCACGTCTCTCTGCTTCCTACATCAGACCGAGAAAGGCAAAGCCTCATGCAGCAGCCCGTGCAAATGCACTTCTTCCTAGCTGGCCAGATAATACTGTCTCTCTTCATCGGTAATATTTTTCTATTGCAACTGAGAACATACACACATCCCCCTCTCAGGGTTTCATGAAACAATACTTATCGTAGTATGTGTAATGCATTTAAAATTTTTCTTTTAAAAAGTTCTGGCTGCAAACCTTTAAAATGATATCTCAAATCATGAACATTTGTGACCCATGGTTTAAAAAGCAGTTGTAACACAGCTGATGTCTACCACAGCTGCGCCATGTGCCAGACACTATACATGTACGTTCATTACTCATGTTTAGTCCCCACATCAACTCTGCGATTTAGTTTATCATCTGCACTTTACAGACCAGCAAACCGAGGCTGAAGGCAGTTACTGCCTAAGGTCACACCTTGATAGTAAGTTGTGGCAGTTAAGTAACCAGCAGGGATTTGTACCAAAGACTGAGGCCAGGGCCCAAATGATCGGTCACCAGACTTCATCGCTTCAGTTGCAGAAATCCAGGCCGTCCTTTTTGTCCGTTAGAGCAAGACCCTTTCCCCAGAGGTTTTTGGCAAACGCTCCCGGCACTGCTTCTCGTTATTCCTTGGATCCGTTTCATCAGCTCCTCCCATGTGCGCCTGTACGGGATGGAGCGGGAACCCTGAGGGCCATTCTCTGTTTTGCTACAGCAAACACGCTGCTCAAGTCATCCATGACTTTTTCTTGAGGGAGAGGGTGGGGAAATGAAAGCTTCAGTTTGGGAGAGTAGACTCGTTAGTGGCTTGTTTCTTTCTCTGAATTCTTTATCTTCTATGAGGTGATTCTCAGGTTGGATATATATTTAAAAGATACAAGAAAAAGCATGGGGGTGTTGAGGCCACAGGTGGGAAGCAAAGGCCAGGACATGTGCATGTGTCTGGGCTGATAAAACGCCCCTGAATCTAGATTATGCACCAGCTGCCACTCCCACCTGGAGATCCCCTGGCTCCACAATTTTCTCTCTCCTTTCTGGGCTGCTTCTTTGCCCAAAGGGGCCCTTGCTCCAGAGAGGGGTTTGAGTTTGACCACACTAATAGTTTGGTCTGCTTCAAACAGATTTTCCTTGTTTTCTTGGCATTCATTGGCTGAGGAGTTCACAGATTATGAGGGGAGAAGGGCTCAGTGGCTTCTCAGTGTCAGGAGCACTTACTGGCCTCAGTCAACACACCCCACTCCACACCACACTGGGCCCACATCAGGAGACATCAGGGACCACCTGAAAGGTGACCTCTGCAAATCACAAATGGATTCTCACATTTGAGTGTGTCAGGATCACCTGGAGGGCTATTAATAGAGACCACTGGACTCCACATCAGGAGACATCAGGGACCACCTGAAAGGTGACCTCTGCAAATCACAAGTGGATTCTCACATTTGAGTGTGTCAGGATCACCTGGAGGGCTATTAATAGAGACCACTGGACCCCACTCTCAGGGTTTCTGTAGGTCTGGGGTGGGGCCCAAGAGTGTTTCCAACAAGTTCCTAGGTGATGCTGATGCTGCTGGTCCAGGGACCACAAGATCCTTGAGAGAGATTCTAGCAAAATCTCTTCTCACATTTCTTTGATATTTAAGGGCCCCTTCTGGGTTGGGACCCCTTGCCTGTAACTGGCTGGCTCACCCTTTCAGCTGATGCACTCCAAGTTTTGAAGTGAGAGAAACTTAAAATCCACTAGCCTGGCTGGGAGAAACCAACCCAGCCTCTTGGACAGAGGTTTCTGTGTGGTGACAACCTTGCATAGGTGTTTAATAAATGTTTGTTAAATTATCTCATTTGAAAGCTTTCTGCATCAGGATGGTGGATTTTAACTACCTAAGCGGCCTAGTTAGTCAGAATGAGCAAAAGTTGATAATACATCAGGCTCTCCCAAAGTAGAGACTTAGCACATGCACTTCTACCTAATGTACTTTGTGTACACGATGCCACCAAGCCCATGCAAATATGCATAGATTTGTTTGGACCTAAGCCTTTTGCATATTCATTCTTGTTGCTATGAATACAAACCTGAAGGTGACATAAAGGAACCTGGGGATCACCTAAATCCAAAACACTATGTCTCTATCTTTCATAGCCACTCCCCACAGTTCACGTTCTGAAAGACTATGGTTACCGCTGGTTCATTTTCCCATGAGTACACCATTCAGTGCTATCAGAACTCCTGGGCCCAAGCAAAAGGCCAGGGCTGACTTTGTGTAGAGAGATGTCCTCTTTCATTATGCCTGGAAATACTGAGGAAAGCTCAGGGATGCCTTTTCTCCCGGTGTAGACACCAGGCTTGGAACTGTTACTTTGCTGCAAATGACAGCCACATTCCTTAGTTGTTGAACTCCCAGCAAAATGTTATCAGTCTCAACAAAAATGAAATAGGAAAACTACCAAGAACCTTGGGGTATTCTTATCTTTTTTTTTTTTTTTTTGTCCTTTTTGAGACCGGCTGCACCACGCTCTGAGCGCACTGGTCATCCTTATATAGGATCCGAACCCGCGGCGGGAAGCGCTGCTGCGCTCCCAGCGCCACGCTCTCCCGAGGGCGCCACAGGCTTGGCCCGGGTATTCTTAATCAGAGTGCAGCATTTCACTCCGGCTTGAAAGCTGGGGAACATTCATTCCTTCCAGACAAAGGGCTTGTAAAAAAACCCAGAGGTGTCTGAGAGAACCTTTCTCTGGGAAAGACTGACACAGTATGCTCAGGTTTAAATAAAGAATTTCTATTTTTAGGACTTGAAAAAAAATTCAGTGCATCTTCAGCACTATCTACTGCATTCCTTAGTGGTTCCATAGGGAAAAGGACCTGGGCCACTTAAAAAATGCCCTGGAAGATGGAGTATTACCAACACTTGAAAGATATTTCCAGAGTCCCAGTCTCCCTCCTCCTAGAGGGAGGACCAGAACTGCAGCACTGTCTCCCAAGGGATTTATCCTGAGGGCCTGATCCTTCCAAATTGCTCTAGTCATTTAACACAGTCACATTTCTTTCACACTGTAAATGAGGGAAAAAAAAAAAAAAAAAAAAGCCTGTGGTAAACTAGATCTAGAAACAGCATTTTTTTTTTAAATTTAGGATTTCAGCCTTGCCTCCACAGCATAAATAGCAGAGTAGAGGCAAGTCAAAGTCGACTGACTTAGAAAAGGCCACAGTTCTCCAGTTAAGCATCTGAGGGATGACCTTTCTCAGCTCTCGTCACTGAACGCCAGAGGTGAGAGCTCCTCGTGGCAATGCACCAGCATTGTGTGTGTGGAGGTTTTCAGCAATCTCCTCTGGCTTGACTACTGTGCTTTCTGCTGGGTGGGCACAGGAAAATGGGTCTGCCCCAAACCCCTGACTCCAGAAGCAAATTCCAAAGACTTGATGACTTTTTCTGTATCAACGGAGAGCCCATCAACACATAGGAATTGATTCAGGCTGCAGAAAGCCAAAGGAGAGAGGCCTGGTGGGGCAAGCGTGTTCTAGACAGGGGCCATAAATGTCCTTTAAAAACAACAAAATAAGAAAAACCAAACACTTCATTCAAGAGTGGCGGGAGCAATGAAACAAACACTCAACCAGAGAAAACTCAAGTAGACTGTAGACAATCTGTGCTCCCCTGAGGCTAACATCGTGAGAGAGAACTATATCAGAACAGGTTTTGGAAAAATTTTATTGCATTTTGTTTCCATGTGGAAGCACTGACAGAATTGAAAAGAGGCAGCATGTTCCACTTACTCTTCTGAAAAATCACATGGCTAGATTCACTTTCTCCCTTCCCAGCACTGGATTTGATAAACCTCATCCCCACCCTCACCCCAAGCAAAAGCTAAAAAAAGGAGGTTTGTGGCAATCGCTTAAAAAAAAACAAACACAAGTGTAAGAAGTCACAGATGGTCAATATTCAGATGGCGGTGTTTGTGTCTGAAGGGCACTCCCTACCTCCTCACCTCTCCCCACTCCCTTCAGCCCTCCCTCAAATGAGACAACACTGCTGTGCCTCCCAAGTGGAGAAGCTATTTGGCCTTAGTGCTGCAGGCTCAGAGATTCCAGTGAATGGGATGGCCATCTGTCAGCTGTAAAAAAGTTGGGGGCTGTAATGTCACCCCAGCATCATGGTCAGCCCTGTGCCAGGAAAACAGCCTCCCAGGTTAAAATACAGATAAGACACGGTACGTGCACATTTATGCGTCAATATCAGAACGTGAACCCACTTTAGAGATTTACAAAATGAGGAGGGGTTGGTCGCGGGGCACTGGTGCCTGTTTCACTCAGAATTAACACTGCTTAAGTGACATCTTGCTAGGGAAGGGAGGGACGTAGGATGGTGCGAGAGGAAGTGGATGTAACACAGAAAAATGTAGCTTGCCTGAAACTGTAATTCTTGATTGTATAAGGCATTTTGAACTGAAAAACATCTTTCCTTCACAGTCTTCCAAATAATCACAGGGAACATAATTGCGGATTCAGAATACAAATAAGATCCCTTTCATCTTTCTCCCTAGACCCCCAAAAGTCATTCTATATCCCTAAGCTCATAAAATACAAGGCAGGCAATTGATTTTGTGAATTAGGAGGCAAACCATGTCCATTTGGGAGATGAGGCTGTTGTGCCAAGGGCCCTTCCGAAGGTTCCGGCCCTGATCCTGCCCCTCCCAGGCCTCAAGGGGTAAGTATCCGACTTCAGTGAGGTTTTAAGTCCCATGGGGCACCTGCCACTGCTTCCTGGGCAGTGGGATGTCAGGGCCCTCCTGGCTTTCCTACGCATCCCCAACCAGGTGTCCGGACTGGTCCATCCACGCACAGCGTCACATCTCACTCAGTTAGTAGAGGTGGGCACGGCCTGGAGACAGCACCCTCCACATTAGTCATGCCAGACAGACAGCAGAGAGGAAACCAGAGGCCAGAGAAGTGATTTTAAAAGGAAAAAATGAGCAGCTTTGGTCACCAAAAAACTGAAAGGATGATTTAAAAAAAATAAAACATGGGGGCTTTTTTTTTTCTCTGCAATGCTCAGCCATTTCATTTGAGACATAAAAAAAGTTTTAGGAGGAGTAGTTTGCTTTTTCGGTTTCAACATTCATGAGAACGGATCGGACGGTAGTGCTGTGATGTGGTTTGTGTCTGAGCGGCAATGCTGGTCAGGGGTCCTCAGACCACGTACTGGTACGGGTCTGCCTTCCCCTGGTCTGGCGTGGCAAAGGGGCTGGCCCAGCCTAGAGAGAAGGGGTGGCCAAAAACGGCTTTCATGTTCATCCATTTTGTTTTTTTAGCCCATCTTCTCTCTTCCTTTTTCAATTGTTCTATTCCCTGAAAACAAGAACAATCACACTTTCAGTCAAGCACTTTACTGCTGTGGTTTTTGCGGTGACTGGAGTAAATGCTTCCTTTGTAAAGCAGTAAAACTATCTATATAACACAGTTTTCTTCTCTTTCTTTCATAAAAAGTTTTACTAAGAAAGAATCTTACTTTTTTGGTGAGCACACATGTACAGCTCCCTCCGAGAAGGGAGGCACACGCGAGTAGAGTCGGCGGGTGCCTGAGCCACCGTCCCTGACCACGCGAGCCCCGAGCTCCGTTAGGCTCCCCGGCTGCACACAGGCGCTGCCGAGCAGCCTCGTGGCGGGCGGCGGGCGGGCGGGCTGTGAGGGCGCTGGCCTGAGCAGCCTTGGGGCTCGCCACCGTGATAACCAACAATGGCTGTTCGCTTGCAATAGGTTCATGGGAAGTTTGAAGCTACTACGACCACTTTGCAGACAAAAAAAAAGGAACGAATCAAACGACTGCTCTGGCGCTGTGTGTGTCACCAGCCTGCGGGGTCAAGAAGCACCTGCTCAGCGGGGCTGGCGAGACACAACCCACGAAGGTGGGACAGGAGTGAGAGCCCATGGGTGAGAGGAGAAGCCACCACAGAGGAGAAAGGAGAAGGGATTAGTACAGGTTAGAGCGGCAGCAGGGCCAGGCCGGTCAGCCTCCATCATGGCGAAGTCTTCCTAGAGCTGCTGTGGGGAGAAGTGTGGTGGGGGCCAGTGCAGCCGTTGTCACAGAGCCTGCGCCCCTTCCCCCGCCAAGTCTCACAGGAAAAAAGGGGGCTGGGGAGATGCTGTGTCCTCTGTTCCCCTTCTCCAGGTGGGGCAGGCCAGCTGCCGGAGGGACAGGAGAGAACAGCCGGGCAGGAGCCGGGCGAGGGGTCTGTCTGCTGTGGTCTCTGGTGAGACGGGGGCCGGGGGACAGCCCAGTCTGTCTTTCTGCACAGCCTAGAGACCTGGGAAGGATCTAGGTAAGGGAAAGACACCCTTCCCCACGGGCTGCAGGGCCCCTCTTTCCTTTCCAACACAATTCCCTTCAGGAATGGCCTTGACAGGAAGAAGGGCTAGGACGAGGGCTGTGAGAGTTTTCCTTCTGGCTCCCCCAGACCATGGCCTGTGTGGCCGGGCAGCATCCCAACAGTGGGCAGGGCCTGACAGAGTCACCTTTGGGTTCCCTGCAGGTCTTACACAGAGAAGTTGGTCACGTTTACTGCTTGGATACATGGCTGGATCTACACCATTGATTACTATTTTTACAGAATCTTTTTCAGTGACATTTCTTGTAAGAGAAAAATCGCTGCTGGAAAGCCCCCGACCGCTAAACCGTCGGGAGCCCGCACGATGCAGATGACAGTGCTGTGGCAGCAGGTGGCGTGGGCCTCCTCTCCTCTGCACGCTGCTCTTCTACGCCCACAGCACAGGGAGCCCGGCTGAGGACGCTGGCTTTCTGTGAGCTTCTGCCTGATGCTGACTACCCAACAGGGCCAAAGCTCCCATCCAGAGCCCTAGACTCCTGTTGAGAGCTGCCACATGAGGGGCCAGGAGTAGTACAAGGACAATGTCATGATCTCATGACTCTGCTCCTCACACCCAGAGCTAAATGCGACCCCTTCTTCCTGGAGCCCTTATCTGGACCCCAAAGCCAAAAAAAAGGAAGAAATGTCCACATCATAGCTATGGACTGACCACCTTGAGGCTTTGGGACACCTTAGGAAGGTCAGGAGGTAGCAGCAGTGGCACCAGGGGAGTGGGCTCCAATCTGGCCAGCAATTTCAAAGCTCCCAGAGAAGGAGCTGTGGGTAGGACAGGAGGTAGTGGTGGGGAATGGGGAGAAGGCAATGGACAAGGACCAGAGCTGGGCCAAGCAGAGATGACCTAGATCCCAGGCAAGAGCTTGTTGCCCTGTGGGGCTAAAGGCACATCTGTCTCCTGACTCTGCCCTCAAGACCTAGTCATGGAGTCACCTCCTCTGGAAAGCTGACCCTGCCAGTCCTAGCTGGCTTAGGGTACCCTTTGTCAATCAAGCCTGTGACATCCAGATGGGAAGGGTGTCCTAGCGCATGGCAGAGTGCCCAGCACAACACAGTGTATAAGAAAGAACCATCAAGGGGGTGAAGGAATGGTGGTAAAGGCAACCATTGAGCTAAGGCTGCTGTGCCTGCCATAAGGCTGGAGGACTTGCGTGTGCATAAAGAAGACGTACATGTCACTGCAAATGAAGGACCTGGGCCCTGCACACCAGAGGCCTGGCCACTGGGATCTCAGGTTGGGCCAGTGAGCAGCCCTCCCAGCAACACCTGCCCTGGCTGCTCCCCCAACCCCAGATGCAGAAGTGGAGGTTGGGGCCTCCTGCTTACCGTCTCATCTGTGCAGATGGAGTGCACCTGGGTCCCAAACATCACGGATGTGAAAATGAGGAAGAGCAGCCCCTCGAAGCACAGCAGGATGAGAAGGATCACCGTGGTGGGGGGAGAGAAGGAGCTACACTCTGAAAGAGAAGGAACGTGTGGGGCCTGGGGCTGCCATCCACTACCTGCTGCCAAGGCTCACTGTCCCACCCGGGCTCCCATTGTGCCTCAGCTCACAGGACTTAGTTCCTCCTGGGTGCCACAGGCCTCAGCAGGGACCACCCTGCCCCACACCTGGCTACCTCTTACTCCCTCAGGTAAGCCCTCCTCAACAGGCCAGGCCCAGCTTCACTAACAAGAATCATGCCTTGTTCACAGTCCCCAGGGCCAAGCACAGTGCCTGGCACATGGAAGGACCTGACAAGGACTCTGAACTGAGGCATGAAGCCCTGATGACAGCACAGGAGACCCTACTCTCCTCAGAAAGCACAATGCCAGTGCACAGGTGGAGAGGCCTGTCCAGTCCTGACTTGGCCAAGAGTTTTCTGGGCATACCTGTACAAACTGTCACCCCTCCCTGTGCCTCCACCAGCTCTCATCTGAGACGAAAGGGCAGGTCTGCAGAATCACTTGGTGGCTTTGGGATGTGAAGCTTGGCAGAAGGCAGTTTAACTGCAGGGCTCAGCCCTGATCACGGTACAATGTAAAGTCCCCTCAGGGACATCTGCATCACTGAGACCATCAGTCCTGAAGGCTGGGAGTCAACCAAGGAGACACTGGCCCAGAGTAGGTGCTTTCACTGTCCTGCCACCCCCCAGGAGCCCACCCCGACCTGGGGTGTGACCTGAGGCAGGTCCCTGCCCTCTCCAGGGCTCCACTCCCTCCACTGTACAGCACTGAGGTTTGATTAGAGGTATGGTGTGTTTTAGCAGCAGAATCCTTTGTCTGAACAAAGTCTAAATCAGAAACCCAGTGCACTGAACGGAAAAGCACTGGTACTGTGGAGCTGGTGGGGATGAGTAGGGAGGGAGCCCTGGGGAGATGTGGAGCTCCCCTGGGAAGAACGCGGCCCAGCCAACAGCACTGGCAGTGCAGTCCAGGCCCCTCGGTTGGCCTCATTACCCAGGGACTGGCCCATGAGTGCAACTGCCTTGCTGTTCAAGCCTGGATTGTGGTTTGTTTCTCATTGCTCCACTGCTCAGGCCTGTTTCCCTGGCTGGACAGGTTGGACCTTGGAGGGCAAGGTCCTTCAAGCCTTCACTGGCTTTGGGAATTCAGGGAGTGAGTGCCCCTCTGAGCTCTCCTGTCGGGTCCCTCATAGGAATGTCAAGAAGGGCAAGGGTGTCAAATGTGGGAATGAGTTTGGATAGATACCAAGCACTGTATGGGTGGTAGGGTAAGGACACCTCATCTGAAATGCCATTATCCCCTCAGGTTTCCCTGGGAACTTTTGCCTCAGGATGATTTCTCTTCTTTGTTCCTTGCTGGGCAGGGCTTGGCTGGGGTGGCCCACCTGCCTGATGGGTTGGTCCCAGGTGGCCACAAGTATGGCAGCTGCCTACCTGGCCTTGGGCTGGGCTGAGCAGTGTGTTGGGAAGAACTAGGGTTCTGGAATCTGGCACCAGCTCCTGATCATGAGCTCTAACTACGATGCCCTCACTAATATTCTGTTCTGGCCCATGTCTTCCCTATTCCTTGCACTAGGTAATTAGCTATTTCTTTCCATACGTGCTTGATATCTGCCTCTCCCACTATACTTCAAGCTCCAGGAGGACAAGGTCTTTGTTTTGCTCACTGCTGTACAACCTGCCTTGGAAGAATGCCTGACAACAAAAGAATCTGGACAGGAGGTCGGGGTTTTCTGAGACTTTGTTTTCCCTTCTGTCCAGGGGAATGATCAAGAATTTATGATAGAACAACTCCATAGCTCGCTTCGGCCTGGCACCAGCACGTGGGCGTGCTCACCGGAAGGATGCACCTTGTCCCTCCCTACCCACCTCAGCTGCCCTGGAGCTAGATGCAGAGCCCGGCACTTGCATGCATACTTCCCCTGCCGGGCTGGGCCCAGGAATTACAAATGGAGTTTGGAGAGGCAGGACCCAGATCCAGATAATGGGGAATTAGCTCCCTAACCTCCTTTAAACATCAACTCAAAGCACCCTCTTCCTAGAGGACAGCTCTGTCCCCCCTACACAAGCTCGTGTGGCCCAACAGCTCTACCAGGGCTGAGCAGTGATGGCATTAACTGTCACATACAGTTAGTCAGCTCTCAGGCCTGCACTTTGGGGACTGTCGTGGGCTTTCCCAGCCTACCTGCCACAGGAAATGGGTGCCTCAAGCCCACTCCATCAGGAATCTTGACCAAAGACAATCAAGAGCTTGGCTGGGAGGACTCTGGGGACTGAAGTCAGCCAGACGGGGCTGGAAAACCTTGTTCCAGACCTAGGCTTGAACTGCAGGCCCTCTTAGCTGAGTGATCCTGGACACTTAACCTCTGTGAGCCTCAGCTTTTGTCTTCTACAAAGTGCAGAGCATCTCAGTTACCCTGTAGGATTGTTACAAGATTGAAACAAGGCACTACTCAAAAAGCCATGCCTGGCTGCCAGGAGGCATTAATAAGACGGTCCCAGCTGGAACCATTCCAAAGACAGACATTTTGCCTCACTGCCAGTCTGTATCACTCCTGTCACTGCTCGAGTCCGTCAACCTGATGACAGGTGGGAGGTATTTGTGATGATAAAATGTCCATGTTGGACTTCCCTAGCTAGTTGCTAGGGCCACATCTGGAGTTGCTCTGGGTCCGCAGGGCCTAGCAGAGTGCATGTACTTTCAGAATGTTCACCAACTGATCAGAAACTTGCTGGCGACCCACCCAGCTGTGCAGAATGGTGAGATCTGCAGACAGCCGCTCACCCCTACCCTTCTCTCCTCTCCCTACTATAACTAGCTTGACCCCCCTCTCTCTGGCTTATTCTTAAGTCCAGAAAATGCGTAAGTCAGCATGTGCAGGAAGAGCCAAAGTTCTAAAGATGGTGAAAGGAAAAGGGGGACCCATCAAGGGGAAAACCGAAGAAATATGATATTCATTGCTCAAGATGTCTGTCTCATGGATCAGGAGTGTGAAAGATCTAGCCCAGCAGGTGGCCTCTTATTTCTTTTCCTCCAGCATCTGTTGCTTTCCTTTAGAATTTGTGCAATCTTTTGGTTGGAGTTCCTTCCTCAGCATTTGCATATGTAAATGAGATACTTCTAAAGCTGGAAGAATTTGTCTATAATCTCAATGCAAATTGGTGATCATCAATACAAGCAGTTAAAAAACCACCATCACAAAAAAACAAAGTAACAAACAAAATTCTGTGTCTTAGCTAGAAAGTTAAAAATGGATCCCTACAAGATGGGAAATAAAATGACCTTTGACTAAAGTGCCTTGTTTAAAGACACAGAAACGACAGTTCTCTCCTAGCTCGGCTCCCACTCGCTGGAACTTGCCTCTGTGCTTGCTTGGGGCCTGTATGCTCCCTGGTCATGCTCAGTCCAGCGGGTCTGTCCAACTCACTACTTTACCTGTGGAACTTACTTTAAGGGGCTGCTGTTTTTCATGGAGAGAGATTCGGGCCTCTGCCATTCTTTCCCTGTTCAGTACATAGGCTTGCAAGAGATCTAACAAAATGAGGTTGGCCCCTAGCACCATGAGGAAACAAGGAGCCCAGCCTGTTCTCCCCACCCACTCAGGTCACGTGCCCACCCTGGAGCAGGGAGGGAAGCCCTGGCACATACTCACTTGTCCAGTCTTCTTCAAAGCAATGCAGGAAGTGGAATCCCACCATGATGAGGGCGTGCAAGGAAATGAGAGCTATGTACATCTGAAACAGGAAAGCAGTGCAGATGCCATTGCTGTGAGAATCTTCTGACTGCAGGCTCCCAGGACAGGGGCACTCAGAACCTGCCACTTGGAAACACTATGCTAGGCTGAGGCCTGACCAGGAGGGGCCAGAGAAGCATTTGGCGATTCCCCCACAGGCCCCCCTGTCCACAGCCTGGGGTCTGAGGGGAGTAGCCGCTGTCTGGGAGTGTGTGGAACCAGAACAGTAATAACGCCCGTCACCAGGCTTGACCTGGGCTCTAGGCCTGCTGCTTCTCCTCACGTGAAAGGTCAGGGTGCTGACTGCTGACAGCCCTCCAGTCCTCACACTAAATATGCTCCACCTACCTGTAGCTCAGGTTTTGAAGTCATCACCCAAACTGCCTTCTTTAGCTACTTAGGTCCAACACTTGGGATGGGAGCCCAGAAGACAGATCTTGCTTACAGCTAATCAACTTGAATCAATTTCTAAATGCTCAAGTGAAGCATTTCTAAATGCTTAGGAACAGGCACTTGTTGAGTCAGAGATCTTTGGCAGGAAGGCAGAGGTCTATGTGACCAGGCTGTATTCTGAACAGCAGCAAAGAACACTGTAAGTGCTGAGAATTTTCAAAGGAACAAAGTGCTCCATCGCTTCATGGAGGGTGGGGCAGAATTCAGAAGGTAACTTACTGTAAACAGGACGAAGTACTTCTGGTTGTTTTCGCCAACACAGTTGTTGACCCAGGGACAGTGGTGGTCCATCTTGCGAATGCACCGCTTACAAACACTGAAACAGCCCACAAGTCAGACCTTCACGGGTGTCCTCCAGATATTGGCAGGGCCCCCCGAGGGGAACACAGAACCCATGGCTCCAGCTCCACTCCCGTGAAATGGCTTCCTCGGGAACTGCAGGAGTTTTGTTGGGTGCATGTTGTGAGGGGCTTGGAAGGCAGAGTCAGGAACCCCAGGGTCAGGGTCATTCCAAACAGCAGGAAGAGTCATTCATGTCCAAGGCCTGTTACGTTGTTTAACATATGAACAGGTTGGAGCTCACAGCTGACGTGGCTGAGAAAGAGGCTGGCTCTCCTGAACTAACAGGAAGCTTAGGATTTGGTTTACTGAGAGGGCAGAATGAAGAAGTAGTTTGGAAACTTGACAGAGTAGGACGGGATACAGAGAACAGCTATTCCTTATTTTCCCAAAAGACCAAAAAACCAGGTGCCGTAGGAAGTTCCAGAAGCAGTACCATGTGCTACCAGGGAGGGCATGGTGCCTCCACCCCGGAGGGACAAAGGATGCAAGAGAGGGTTATTTCAAGGGCAGGGTCAAGGACAGCAGGGAGCCCAGCTCTGAGATCCTTTCAGCTCTAAGATAACACCCACTAACTCTAAAAGGCAGAAAAGTCATGTGCGCTTAACTATTGACCAGATCCTCTAATTAATTTGCATATTTCTAACTTGTTATTGGGGTAATTTTTGGGTGGGCTGAGACTGTTTCAAACTTATTTGATAGCAAACACCATCCCCTCTCCTGCTTTGGACAATACAAAGTGATAATACAAGAGTGCAAGACCTTCCCAAAGCTCAAGTTTAGAAAGACTCACTTGCCACTAGATGGGCTCATCAAAAATTGTTCTTTTTTTCAACTCATTAAAATAGGCTCCTAACATTTATCTTGGGGGTATTACTTGTTCAAAACAGCTTGAAATCCTGTAAATACAAGCTTAGAAATAATATAATTAGATTTTCCTTTTTTAAAGTTCTTCTCCATCAGTTTCCCTAACTAACTCTACCTCGGGTTCCTGTTAAAGCACATAGCAGGCAGTGCAGGTAGAGCCTGGGGGAAGGTGGGAAAGCGCAGGAGCAGTTGTCCTGGGCATGGAGGTGAGCTGTTTCCTGGTCTCTGGGGCCCCAAGCACAGACCTCTCCATGGAGGGACTCCCTCACACCCCAAGGAGGAGGTGTGTGCTTTTCTAAGCTGGAAAGGGTCTTGGTGATAAGGCAGACCTGGATTTGCTGAGCTACTTGGTCAAACTGGCTAAACTCTGAGCCTCAGGTTTCCCGTCTGTATGAAATAAGTGTTGGCACAAGGAACACATGAGAACAGACACTGGGCCTGGTCAGACCAGCGGCCTCATACCGCCCTTGCTCTTCTCCACAACCTCAGAGGCCTCGCTAACACAGGCAGGTTGGGAATGGGCATATCTCAGAGATGTTGGCCTGGCTCTAGACTCTCCCTTGGGGCCAAGGTAACAAAAGAAGGCATGAAAGGGACACACCAGGTAACAAAGAGAAAGCCAGGTGCCAGCAGCTCCACCACCCAGCCTCTCTGTTTTTCTCTCTCTGTTACCAATTTTAAGAATACCTATGAATATTTATGTGAATATATATATATATATATATAAAAAAAATATATATGTTTTAATTGGTAACACTTGTTCTTAGTACACAATGTTAAAAAGTACCAACAAGTGGACGGTGAAGAGTGAGCTGCCCCTGTACCCTAGGCCTTGCCATCAGGCTGCCCACCCCTCCATGCAGTCGCCCCCTGCAGCTCGTTTCCTTCCAAGACAGTCAGCTATGGGGTCTCTTAATCTCCTTCCCATCTAAGGGACAAACTCCTGAGGGTAACCGCCTCTCTGTTCCAGGCTCCTGAGCAGTTTCTCTTCATCCACACTTATTTTTGAAAGCGTTTTCAAGTGGGTGCTCTTGAGGTGGCGTTGGCTCAATGGCAGAGAGGTGCCAAGTGGCCTGACATCCTCTGAAACTGCCAGGAGTTTAAACAAGCTCTCACAGCAAAGCCGTCCTTCGCTCTCCTCCCAGCCTCTCGGAAGAGATAAGGCATGAACCACACAGCCTGTTGGGAAACCCAGCTTCCTAAGTCTTGCTGGGCAGCAGAATCAGACAAATACACATCCTCCAGAGAGCAGGAAAGGTGAGTACAGTTTGCGAGGGCTGCAAAAGCTGGTTCAAAACGCTGGCCCCTGAATTTCCTGTTTTCAAAACTATGAAGTGCTAAGACAGCCCTTCTTCGCTCCCCAGGCCCGGTGGTTGGAGACACTGCTGAAGGCCGCCAGTGCACAGAAGGCTCTGCCTGCACGGCACTGGGGCTGGGCCTGCAGCCACCATGCGCAAGGCCTGGAGGTGAGTCCTGCAGCGGGGCAGCGAAGGCCGTGCCACACCCCTACAGAGTTTCACCTCAGGCACCATCCATCATGGGGAGAAAGACAAAATGTGGGCCTCCTGCCATGACCCCTACCACCCCTCAGGGACGAATCACCTCAGAGCCAGCCCTCTTCCCAGCCCTTGCCACACCCACGGTAGGCAGGGAGCTCAGTGGTGTCCCCTTCCTGACACAGCAGGGAGGCTCACAGTCTGCACTAACGGGAGCCTGCCCTGCCTTGGCTGTGGATGGCCCCAATGCCCAAAGGCCCTTTCTCCATCATTTCCACTGGGTGAAAGCCACCCTATCCTCCAAGACTTCCTCCTTGCTTGCTCTTTCCCTGATGTGTCCCACAGCGCTCTCCTCACAGTCCTTTCTAACACTGATTCCAGTGTCCAGTGTGAGCTGCTGAGCTCCTGGGGCATGGGGACCGAGTGCACGCAACACAGTCACGGAACAGGCCAAAGTCACTGAACAGGCCAAATGCCTTACAAGGGGGTATGTTTTGTGTTTACCAGGCCCCTTCTATGTTTCTAAATTACCATTTCTGAAGAAGGCAGATGCTTCTACTCCCCTCCTCCTCCAGGTTCCCTGTCATTTTTCAGTCCCCAAAGCCTGGAAGAACCCAACAAGCTCACTGGCTCAGATGCTCTGAGTATCTCTTGGGCTTATGAGTTCCCTCTCCAGGAAGCTATGAGGACCCTTCCTTGGTACTCATCCTAAAGGAGGTGGCTGAGGCTCTCTTGCCCATTCTGGGTGATGGTCCAGCATGGAAACATAGCCATGTCCTATTCCCAAACTGTATCATGGTGGACAAGTGTGCCTGCCCTGCCTGGATAGGAGGTCCCTGGGGTTAGGGCCATGTCTAATCCACCACTATAAGCCCAGAGCCAAGCTACTCTTAGCTGAACAAAGGCTCTGACACTATAGATAGGGAAAGAGCAAGCCTGGGAAACGAGCTCAACCCTGGCAGACAGGGATGCCCAGTAGAAAAAAATAAAAGGAAGTCAGCAAGAAGGTATTAAGTGGGCTATAGCCTCACCTATAGGTTTTCATTCCATACCTCATTAGCTATAACTAAAATTATAAGCAGAAAAGACGTCTACATTACATCCTAGCTCCAGCTCAGAAACGATTCTGGGAAAGACAGTGCAGTGTAGTGAAAAGAACAAGGGAGCTGAAGGCAGATCCTCACTTTGGGCTCTGGGCAGAGAAACTTAGGTTCTCCAAATCAGCCTCAGCAGAATTACACTGATCTCTCAGGGCCACTGTGAGTAACGGATAATGTATGTACAGTGCTTTAAAAACAATACTAGTGCTATATAAATTTTATCAGTACCCATAACGATGAGAAAGACAAAACAAAAAGAATCTGGCAGGGGTGCTAAGGAGCCCATGACTGCCTCTGCCACAGTGTGTTTGTGAAGTGGGGAGGGGGGGGTGCATGTGAGGCCTTGCCAAAGTCAGAGGTCTCTACCTCCTCACACAAAAAGAACCTGAAGCACAGGCCTAATGCCTTGGCTGCCACATTTGCATAAACGACTCCTCCCACAGGATTTCCACTGCTTCCATGGTCCTCATGAACAGGTGATTTGACTCCAGGATGATAATAGCCTGGATTCCCGAGTACCTCTTCTAGGAGAGAAAGACCCACCCACATACCACAGGGCTGGAAGGAATAGCTACAGGTCCAACATTTGGGTGTATCTGTAGTACCCACCAGAGCTCAGGAAACAGAGACGGTCTTGAATGCTACAGGCTCTGCTGGGAAGAGAAACCACATGTGTGTGCACAGGCACTGTCACCTGAGTGGGCAAGACCGACATCGACTTCTTCTAACCAAGCAGCAGCCTGGGAGCTTGACCAACCACAAACACACCCAGTCTGTCTCGTGTGTCAGGGATTCTACTTATCCAAAATCGTGGGTCTCCAGACGGCCTGGGCCACCACATGCCATCACAAAGGAGCAATTGTCACACATACCCTGAGGTGGAAACAGGCAGCTAACAGGCATCCTCACTTGAATTCATCTCGACCAACCACAAACACACCCAGTCTGTCTCATGTGTCAGGGATTCTACTTATCCAAAATCGTGGGTCTCCAGACGGCCTGGGCCACCACATGCCATCACAAAGGAGCAGTTGTCACACATACCCTGAGGTGGAAACAGGCAGCTAACAGGCATCCTCACTTGAATTCATCTGAATCAGCAGCTCTTGCTTTGCGCGAGCTGATTTGTTTACTAGCACTCAACAATACCTCCCCTGGATCCTCCTGGGGAGGCAAGTTGGAGGCGGTGAGGAAAATGCCAGGCAGTGGAGGCAGCCGAGCACTCAGGGAGGGAAGAGAAAAGAACCACTGTTGTTGCCCGAAAGTTCTTTCTACAAAGTTAACACCTCCCTGTTTCTGGTCCAGCCTTTATAAACCCATCACATACCCACCTCCTTACACATTCTTTTATTAATAAACAGCTTCCACTTGTTTAGCTAAGTGACTTGTGGTTGTTCATATTTCATCCTTACAACAAGCAAGGGAGGGACAACTTTACCTTTATAAACCCAGCACATACCCACCTCCTTACACATTCTTTTATTAATAAACAGCTTCCACTTGTTGAGCTAAGTGACTTGTGGTTGTTCATATTTCATCCTTACAACAAGCAAGGGAGGGACAACTTTTTTTTACAGAGGAGAAAGCTGAAGCTCAGAGAGATGCAGCACTTGGCCTAAGGGCCCAGAGTGTGGCAGAGACAGCACTGAACTTCCAACACCGACCTCTTCAACTTCAAGGCCAGAGCCTGCTCCACACACTGGGCCACCCCGAGGAAGCACATAAGCAAGCTGAGCCTTTTCATCTGGGCGATGCTTAGAAAACAGCTGGCTCCTGAGCCTGGGGTCAGGGGCAGGAAAAGGCTAGACTGATACCTCCAACGCAGGTACAAGAAGCAAGCCTTGAATTAGATCTCAGAAGCAAGTTGCCCCAGAGACAGACACCCCACGGGAGATAACAATCACCGCAGGCCCCTGCCCCAGCTCCTCGGCTCTCACCCTCAAGCAGGCAACAACTAGTTGGAGAGGTCTGCAGATCTCTCTCTTTTAGAGACAGAAAAAAACATACAAATAATTACATAAAATTGTGTGAGTCATCCCCAAATGGGAGAGTCCAATCTGCACCTGGAGCCAGAACCACCAGGACCCAATCCTGTCTCTAGTACTCATAAGCTGTGCGACCGCGGAGCAGTCCCTTAACCTCTTTGAGCCTTAATTTCCTCAAGGGAGAGTCATCCCTAGAGCAACACCTATCTCCAGAGGTGACCATGAAGATGAAAATATGGTGACTGATGATGAGACAGGGCGGGCTGAAGTGCCTGGGACATGGCAGGTACTGAGGAGCTGCCTGTGGAATCTGAGCTGGGGAGGCTGACTGCTCTGCCAGAGGTGGGCAGTGAGGCCCACACAGAAATGCTGCCTTTCAGCCGCTCAGATCTCTCACACAAGTGTCTCCACAGCCTCAGACTTACGAGATGACCTCCCAGCACCAGGAGCACTTTCATTCCTCCACAACCCCCACACCCCAAAAACATATATACACCAGTCTGACAAGGGGACCCAGTGACATTTTTGTGTCCCTGTAATCTGGCATTTAAAGTTCCTTTGTAATAATAAAGAGCAATTTCAAGCTAGATGTCTTCTCATTAAGAAGATTCAAAACAGCAAAGAAACCTGAAAACAAAAAGGGAAAACTCACCACAGATAAGATGGGGAAATGGCTTTTTTTTGTTGAATTCTATAATTTTCATAACCTCTGGAAGTTTTTTTAAAAGGAAAGCCTTCATTCAGGCGATGCTTTCATTTCAAGTACTAGACATTCACAGAAGCTTTGTCTCATGGTACCCTTGTAATAAAGACATGAAGTAGGAAAATCCAGAATCCTTCAGTTTTACATATATTTAAACAAAGGTGGAGACAGTCAGGGGCCTGCCCACGTCCTAGGTCAGGTGTGGCAGAGCCAAGTCCTGCAACAGATGTCCTGAGCCCAAACCAAATGCCCTTTCCAATCTTGTAAGTTCACAGAGACCAGGAGGGAGACTTACACTGGTCACTCTGTGCCTAGAGCAGGGGACATTCTGAAGTCCTGTTGCTGACTTGGTACCCGTGGGGGGAAATGTGTGCTACTCCAGGGTATGTGTGTGAGGTGGGGGAGGGAGGCAGGGGGCAGGGAGGAGAGAGGAGGTGAGCCCCAGCAAGTGTACCTGCAGTGGTGGGCTCGGTCGGGCTTGATGCTGCAGCATTTGGGACACTTGTAAACCACCTGCCCAGGCTTCAACTGTAAACTCTCGATGAATTCTTTAGTGGCATTTCCTTTGGGCACAGCCCCCTGTAAGAAAGAGGAAAGGCATCAGGGTTGGGCTGGGGGTTCTAACAGTTCTAACATTCTACAGTGGAGATAGTCATTTGAAAGCAGCAACCACATACATGTATGGACAGGACATTTTGATACCAACAACATGTGGACTCTGTGTTCAGAATTATGCCAACATCAAGGAATATTTATTGACAAGGAATTTTCCTGAGGAAATGCCATTAAGCTACATTAATTCCTTGATTAATATTCTACATTGAACAGTTACACTGTTCCTGATTATTTTCTATTTTCATTTTGCTAAAATTATTTTCACTGAATCCATTCTTTTCTATGTAAATATTACAGCAAGGATTTGACTCACTGGTCTACATTAAATTTTCTGGTAACAGCTCCAGCCTTTGCAAGTTTTCATCGGTGAGCATCATATCTAACAGTCCAGTTTTCCCAGGTCAAAAATGTGCAGCTCTACATTTTAGTGGATTCTGTTTAAACTGGGATCAAGTTTTATTTTACTTTTTTACCAGTACTATTGTTATGAAGGATTGGTAATCTGTATTTAGTTCTTAATGAATCCACAAGCAACTGGGAGCTGCTGCCCTCAGGTATTTGACTCACTGTCTACCCTCTGATCTGCTATTCCATCTATGAGTATGCCTGTGAATACTTTGTGTTCTTGTTCTGGCTGTCCACACTTTGGGTGGAGCCAACAGCAGAGCCAAAATGCCATCAGAATCCACGCTGGCTGTGCACCCATGCAAACAGAAGGAAAACGGCAGTGCACAGCCCTAAGCAGGGTCTCCATAACCAACCTTCACCAAGTGCTACGTGGTGCAGAGCCCTGTGCTCCCATGCTCTTTGCTAGGGCTCAGGAATCAAATGAGGTCTCTGCTTCCAGGAGGCTCATCGTCTTTTGGAGGCTGACAAACAATTCTAGTAAAAGGGGTTATATGCTTACATTACAAATGTAGAAGACATTGGTGTTGATGAGGGAGTGCAGAGGAGGCAGCAGCTAACTAAACAGGGGAATCAGAGAAGTTTTAAGGAGTGATTTTTAAGAGTTGTCCTGAGGAATGTGCAGAGGTGGCCAGGTAAACCTGTAGGGATTCCAGCAGAGGGGTAAGGGTAAAGGCAAAGAGGTGAGAGGGAGCATGACATATTTAGGAGATAGTGAGAAAACCAGTATGCTGAGCCCAGGGTATGCAGTGTCAGCAGGGGGCCTGGACCGATGGGCAGGGCCAGCCCATGTAGAGTGTTGAGTGTCAGGCCTAAAAGTTGGGATGGGATTTTTCTTCATAGGCAGCCCAGAGCCATTAGGTAACATCAGTGCTTCAGGAAGAGAACTCAGTTGCCTATGCTAGGTGGAATAGCTGAGAAGAGGGAGAGATTAAAATCCCAGAGACCAATTAGGAGGTTACTGTCTATGGCCCAGTAAGAAAGGACTGAACTATGAAGACGGAGAAGTAGGAAATTCAGAGAGCTAGATCTGCAAAAGTTGTAGGTAACCAATATGATACTGTGGTGGTACAGGGCGTGACAAAAAGGGAGGAGATAAGCTCCAGGAAAAGTTTCCATTTTTAGCAGCGGGTAAATGGTAGTACTCTTAAGCTATTAAGAGAGACAGCATATGGGCCGGCCTGGTGGCACACTCGGTAGAGTGCGGCGCTTGGGAGTGTGGCGGCGCTCCCGCCGAGGGTTCGGATCCCATATAGAGACTGGTCCGCTCTCTGGTTGAGCACGGTGCGGGCGTGACACCGAGGGTTGCGATCCTGTTGCCGGTCGCGGTACGGGCGCGACACCAAGGGTTGCGATCCGTTGCCGGTCATGAAAAAAGACAAAAAAGGAAAAAAAAAAAGAGAGAGCATAGGAGAAGCCAGTTCTGGGTAAGAGCTGACTAGTTCAGTTAGGGTATGCTGAGTCTGAAGAGCCTGAAGGACTCCCAGAAGGAGGTGTCCAGAAAAGTGGCTGGAAGATGGGTCCAAGAAGCAGGAGAGAAGAGTGGTTAGTGGCACAGCACAAGGGCTAAGAGGTTGGCTTGACCTCATGGTCAAGGGTTCGGTACCAGCCAGCTGGCAGAAAAAAAAAAGAGAAAGGCTGGCTTGGCAGTCCACTGGCCCTGTTTTACATTTGTATTTTACAAGTGTGAGTGGTGTGCCTGTTGACAGGTGAGCCTCTCTGTGCCTCTGTTTCCTAATTAGTGAGCCAGGACTCACCTAATTACCAGCGTTACTGTGAAGATTAAACTAGACATAGACAGGCTGGTCAGTTAGCTCAGTTGGTTTAGAGCATGGTGTTGATAACACCAAGGTCCAGGGTTTGATCCATGTACCGGCAAGATGCCAAAAACAAACAACAACAAAAAACTAGACATAGACAACTTACAGAAAGGGCTTAGATGATGTTTATTACAGACAAAATGCTCAGTATATGGTAGTCTGTTTTCTGGGCCCAGCATTGGCAGCAACGCTGCAACTTTAAAAAAATATAGTTGCCTAGACTCTACACAGCATTACTATATAAAAACTTTGGGGGGCAGGGCCCAGACACCCACACTTTTAAAAAGCTCCAGCAAAGTCTGCTACTCTGTAGTCAGGGCTGAGAACTACTATGCTGGACCAGAAGCTCTATGCTTGGGTCTTCCTTGCTCAGCACCAGAGCCCCTGGCCTGGCACACAGCATGAACACACAGCCAAAGGTAAGAGATATAGCAGCTTCCAGCAAAGTGGAGAAAAGAGTAGTGACGGCCAGCAGAATAAAAAGAAAGGAGCCAAGGATGCCACCCTGGGAACTTTGCCTGCTTGGCCTGGCTCCCAAACAAGAACCACGGCTGATATCAGGTCAAGTCACAGCTATGGGATGGGACTGGGGCCCTCACCCCCCGACCCTAGGGCCCCCACCCCCCCACCCTAGGGCCCC